ACAGTCGGCGGCTGTGGTAGAGCTGGCAGCGGGAGTAGAACAGGCGATGGAGGTAGAGATGATAACGGTGCCAGAGATGGCGTCGATGGAAGATATTGCGACGGTGGTAGAGATGGCGATAGAGGTAGAGATGGCGGTGGTGGCACCACAGACAGAGCAGTCAACAGAGACAAGGGCGTCCTTAGACATCCGCGGTGCTGTCAAGCACGAGATAAGACCGTGCGCGGAGGAGGCAGAGCAGGAGGAGGGCAGTCGCGAGGACGTCAGCGAGGAACGGGCAGGCGGAGAGTGAGGATACTGCGGATGCTGGGAGGTTAGCGGTGAGGACGGCGCGGAGGAGGGGAGACACGAGGTGACGAGGCGGAAGGAGGAGGCGAGGTGGAAGGGAGAAGGGGCGGAGGAAGCGCCAGTGGCTGAAGCGCCTGCGGTTCGGACGTGTGCGTTTGAAAACGCGTTCTTCGCAACCGCGCGCGCGCGCGGGAGACGCGAAAGGGTTACGAAATGAGAGGGCGCCGAGGGGGACGTCACGAAAAATTATTCTCAGGCCGCATCGCATGAGCGCGAGCTCTGTAGAAAATTCATACGTGACGTTCAAGTACGCGAACGTGAACAGTTATTTATGACACACGTGTCATACCCTTATTTATGACACGCGCATGGCAGAACAGAGTATTGTTTTCGCGATTTGAGTTAACTAAACAATGTCGTTAGGTCAAGCCGCATAATCAGTCTTTTAATTTTCATTACACTCTTCTTGAGAGAGGTTCCAGTTTTCAAATTAATAAATCGTTTGCAATTTAGAAGTTTATGATGAAGAATATAATACTTTCGTGGTTTTACAATCACAATGTGGTTAACTAAGAATGGTCGAAAAGTTGAATGTTTACCAAATGAAGAGGAAGATGAAAATTATGTAAATTAATGTATGGTATATTCAAATTTTACTTGACGCTCTAGTACATGTAATATGTCTCAGTAGTATCAGCAAAAAGGGTTTCATCAACATCAAGAAACCACCGAGGAAAATGCGATAACTGCATTAGGAAAAACAACATATCGCTGTATGCGCATTTTTGTAGGTTTCCCTCTTCTAAGAGAAAGTTTGAGAATAATTGACTTGACAAGCGTTTTTTAAAAAAAAGTAAACTGGCGGTGCAGGAATTTTAACATTATAAATGAAAGAAAACACTCGTTTAAAACATTTTTTCCCTCTCTCCATCATCTGCACAGTAACCAAATTACACAGAACAGTGAATTCTTTTATCTATTTCATAATTATGCACATTTTAGTTCAAATATGGCAGTCGGTATTCAGGAATTACAAAATTCAATATATTTCCTCTCTGTAAGGTAGTACATATACGTTCTCGACGTACTGAAAGACATCACTACTATAAGGAATATTATAAAAAATATCGAAAAAAAGTGCTGCATACTTCAGTAACAATTAAGACTATGCATTGATAAGTAAACAACAACAATATACGGTACAATTAGCAAGAACTTTAACTTATATGCAGCGCTTATAGTATTTTTTCGATAAGCTTTATTCAATTTTAATATCTAATAAGTTTGAAGATATTTTAGATTCCTTGTATTATTATAATTTGATGATCTCACTTGAGTTACAATAACATTTAGAACTGACTCAACAACAACAACAATGTCCGATATCTTCTACTGATCTTGATGGGTCTTTGTAGATAAGACCTGCGCAACCATTTGGTTTCAAGGCATCCTGATACTGAAAACAGAAGAGTTCAATCTTAATGTGTGCTACGGTTCTGCAGCATACATCTTTTATTCTTCTTTTAAAAATATTTATTATTATTTTACTTCATGCAGAAATCGACAATATCCTTTGTGGTCTAGCGTGTGACGGTCTGACAATGTACGCTGCATCTGTTAGCCAGAGTCACTGACGTAGATAATGTGAATGTCTTCATTTCCGGCCCAATGAACTGCAGCTCATGGAACTCAGCTCATGAATTGGCAGCTCATGGAACGCATGCGTCAAGTGTGTCACATGGATACATACATAAAATAAAATGAATTGTAAATTTACAAAACGACAAAAGTCCGTAGACATAGTTTTGGGTAAATCAGAAACAGAATTGTTCCTAGCCTCTCTTGTCTTCCCTGTTTGTACAAGTCTTTGAGGGGTTTTAGAAATTAAAATTAATTGCCTTGTTAGAGTTGGTCAGTCCCACGTTAAGTATCCCTAATTGTTAGTGAAGAATAAGTATTGACAGATAGTGTTTATATTTTATATTGCGAAAGTGCGGAGAAGAGAGGAAGTAGTGTGTTGATGAGGGAAGTAGTGTGTAAGTATACGCGAAAGGAATAAATCTATGGAGGTCTGAATCGGTCTTTAGGGATCAGGATTGAATACTTTGCTGAAATGTATATGATTGACAAAAAAAAGTAGCTTTCTGTGGGAAATATTGAAGTAATGTGGAAAAAGTTTTTGTTCCGTAATTTTTTTCAAATCTGTATCGTAGCCTCTCTGAATTAGTTTTTCATATAAAATATTTTTATAGAACTCAAACGTATTGATTTACAATCACTAGTATTTTCCATGATATAGAAAGCTTCCGAAAGCTTTCAAAATACTTGAGGAAAGACTGATAGTTGTGAGAACCAAAACACAGAATTAGAAGGATTTCCTCCCAAATTAATCATTATTATGTTTACTCACAATTCAAAGTTCTTTGAGCCAATATTCCAGCTTGTTACAGGTTGTTTTGTTTATTTTGACACTGAATTTCCTTTCTTTATCTTGAAAAACTAATTCAACGTAAGACGCAAGTTTCACATCTTGGAATTCGTTCTTGTTCTCCGACATCCAAACGTAAATGCCTCCGGTAAAACTGTTTTGCTGGAGAAGCGTTGGAAGGAATATGTCGCAGTGTATTACAGTGGAAGAGAGAAATGCGTTGAGACAGTTTACAGAGGCAGTACAAGTACGCAGAGTGGACCAAGTTCGGATGATGTAGCAAATAGAGGAATGAAAATGACAAATTAAAGAGGTAACATTGGCTGAGAGAAGAGAGATGGGAAAATAATAAATGATACAAGAAAGAGAAAGAGGTCAAGAATACATAAAGTCAAGGAAAGAAATATCATTACAGAAAAATCAAAAATTGTTGCTGATATTCCGGTCCGGATGAGGGTCAGTTATTTTTTAACTAACCAGCCATTATAAAACTTAAATTCTTCTCAGTTTTTACTCATCCTGAGTCGCGTTGTCTAAACACCAGTGATTGCATTAACACCCCTTAGTAACAATAAATGAATACATGAAGGTATTAAAAACTGTCAAAGTCTTAGACCATTATCGTTGAAAAGAGATCGGCAAGATCGAGTCGCGAGGAATGAGCGTGGGCACTATGTAATGGTGGCGAGGTCAGCTTCAACAACAATGGAATCAAAATTATTCATTCCCTCGCCTATATTAACCATTCTCCAAATATTCCGATTATTTGTCGTATGTCACACCATAAAAAATTAAATGAAAAGTGTGCTTATAGCAATATGTTACTCAATAAGCGCCCCAGAGATGCCTAATTCATCCCCTGAATTGGTGCGCAACACCAGTTGTGACGACACGTTCCCGGTCTGCACGCCGTTTGCGTGGAGTAAGCAACGGCAACGGAACGAGGACGACACGGGACGGAGCACGCATTTCAAGCACGCCCGTGATGAACGCCAGCCACGTCACGCGTGTGTTCTCTAAAGCGCAAGCAACGCAACGCGGGTAGCCCTGCCACGGGCAAATGAGGAATCCGTAGAAGAGCGGTATCTGCAAACGAAGCTGTCGGGAACCGGCTCACGATATTAAACAGAAACGCAATTAATTTTGTGGGTTAGTTTGTGATTAGTTTTATATTACGGATGGTATCAGTGCATATAAAATGAATTCAAAACGTACACTAAAAAATTACTTTAATTTCCCCAACAGATTTTCTTCCTTCTTCTATTGGGGCGCTATCCAATTTTTAATTTACAGCAATTATATCTATCATTTTACAAGTAATATTTCAGGTAACATCATGTAGACATTTGTACATTTTACAAATAATGTGTAAAGGAAATTTTCATTCCCCATAAAATTGGACTACAGCTAAAAATGCAACGTTTCGAGATTTGATGTTGAACGTTGAATTATTCACATCATCATTTGGAAAGCTACATATAGATATATCTGATTAAATTATTTAGTTAGAATATTGAAATAAAAGTGAATGCGCAAATGTAAAGTTTAACAATTAGGAAGTAGGTCAGTGTTTAAAATAATGTTACACAATGCGACGAAGTGAAACGTATTTGGCTTTTTGCTCCCATTTGATGACACGGAATAACATTTTTCATGGTCAAGAAAGTGAACTGATCGTCTCTAAATATCCCCATGATACCACTTGTCTTACATTTCGGCACCATTTCTTACTCAAGTTCACAATGTAATAGTTTTAGATTTTGTGGACCACTGTATTAACCGTACAAACAACAAAACCCTGTGAAATAGAATGTGCGGTTCAGACAGAAAAGTGAAGGAAAAGTGTAAAGGGGAAAAAATACTTTCAACAGGTGGTAAGTTAGCTGTAATGTAAGAGAATTAAGAAAACCAGGACAACCCAATAAACAACCAGAACGATCTAAGTTTTCACCAGAACAGGCATTTGTAATGATCGAGATTGTGATCGAAGACATGAAGAGCCCCTCGCACAAACCCGTTGCTGCCAGTCACGGCAAGCGCAGAGGGGAGAAGGAAGAGATTGGGAGCTGAGCGTTCAAAGCGCGGTCAATCTCGGTCCTTCGAGCGAGAAGCGGAGCCCGCGGCTGCTTTCATATGCAAATGGCCCCCGCAGCGAGGCGCCAACGGGGCTTCGCGGATCACTTACGTAATCGCTTGGATGAAACGTTTACAATGCAGTAGTTTCAAAGATAACGCAATTTAAAAGAACTCTACCGGTTGGTGGAGTGTTAAGTTCATTGCTTACAAAACCTAAGTATCTGGCTCCGAATCCCAGCGTGGGCCCTAGGAAGCGTATATTGCTGAAAACCCTTCTACTGACTCTGTTCGAAGGTTTGCGGGTTCCAATTCCCTCACGGGCATGGATGTTTGCTCTGAGAGTCATGGTATGGTTTAGGCTTTTCCGTGGGAAGGGCGAGGGAATACATGAGCCAGTGGACAGTTGGAGGATGCACAATGGGTATACGGACAGCGATTTGAGCGCCATATGTCTGACACCGTTTCTCGCTCCCGGGCCGTTGGGCACAAACGTCCACCCAGGAACACATTCAATGAAAGACGCGAGTCAATGTAAAGTTCAAAGTGTGGCAGGAAGAGAACAGGCTTGAGCCATTCCACAATGATGAAAACGGTTCTGAATCGCAATTAAAAATACTTTTTTAAACATTTATTAATAAACATCAATTCTAGATATTAGAAATTCCAAAAACTAAGAAAAATTGTCTTTTATTAATATTTGGAGAAGAAAATTTGGTCTATTCAGCCGAGGAAATTTTCATCTCCACTACCAGTTGACCGAAAGACTCTTGTGTTCGAGAGCCGACGGGGGCAGGATTTCTGACAACGGCGACATAGCTGGGGCGAATTCTAGCGGTCTCTCTGAATGGTAGTTTTCCGTAGATTCTCCGTTCAAGTCCAAGCGAATGCATGAGCTGTACCCTAACAAACAAACGAGAATTTTTCTTCACTCTTCCTTGTCCTATCCTCACTCGTTACAATCACCACACATCTGGGAGCCCAGTCGGAAGCTTGAAGCACTTGGCTGAGGCGGTGTTCGGCTGATGAGAGATACCTGCTCGGGGAAATCCCCGCGAACCGAAGTATAGCTCGGCACCGTATCTCGTCATCCAACGGGACCAGATCACCATCACCTCCCGGCGTTACCATGCACCACACTTACGAGACCAATGACCACAGCAGTTGACTCAACACGAAACAATAATCAATCAATTCCTTTCCCTCATCAGAATCCGCGCTCTCGACAGCGCACAGCACTTCGGCCGAAAGCGCCCCCGCCATCGCCCCCGCCCCCGCCACCGCCTCCACCTTGGTGCGTCGCGCTTCACATGCAAATTAGGGGGCGGCGCCGCGCGTATTTCCCGGCGGCGAACGGCGCCTCGCTGCGCGCGCGCTGGTACATCGCGCCGGCGACGGAGTGAACCGGAATTTACTGGCACTTCGCTCGCAAAAACCGAGTCCTCGCCGAAATTGAGTGGTTTAACGGGCTGCCGCCGCCGGGTTAATAAAGGAAAATCGCCGGGAATTTGTGGACGGAGGGCGGGCGCGGTGTGTTAGGGAAGTTTAACGGCTGTGTGTGGGCGTTCAAGGGACACACGTGGGAGTCGCGTGCTCTGAGGGAGAACAGAGTGGTATTTTGTTTTGTGTGGAAGGTAGTGATACATGATTTCATCTCAATTGCTATTGTGTGATACAACACAACTTTTTAATGTACGTCAGAAAAGCGATGATAGATTTGAGAAGTTGTAGGAAGAAAAAACGTACTTCATTTAAGACGAATTAATACGTGTGAACGCTAAAACGCACTAAATTTGCACAGAAATGTCCAAATATTATCACAGTCACGTTCTAGTCGTTTACTGTGAAACGTCTATGGAAGTTGTGGGAAATGCTGAACTGTTTTTAACAAAATAATTCATAAGAAATAATAGGCGCTATATATTCCGAAGCAATTTTATTTTCATAGCAGACTT